GTAAACGTTAATTGTGGCTTTATTTTTCCGAACATAGCGTTAACTACCCCATTTCCGGCCTATTAAGCACAACCCGCACTTAGTATTTCTTAATCTAGCGCAGTTGAGCACCAAATGGAATGTTATTATTACTGATGGCCTTTCCGTACGTACCGTAAGATTTGAAAAAGAGACACCAATCATTGAAATATTGTCAAAAGTCTAACACTGCTTCTCGCCACCAAACTCGGCCTACGGATTCTAAACTCGGCTTAACGCATTTAAACACCATTGAAATGCCAATGAATTCACTTCGGCCTATCGGATGAAGATAAAAATTGAATTGTTTGTGATTTTTGGTAAGACAAAGGGCAAGTGTCACTTTTAAAATCGATGTATTGGATTTTGTAAACCATCACATCAATCGGTTATTTGTCTTAAATCGAAGACATCATATCAAGAAGACTGGCATTTTTGCCAGAATCCAAGCGACGTAGCGCTGTGCTTGAGTGAAGGTGGAAGCAACGTATAGAAAATGTGCAAATACACAAACCGTTCTTCTGAGGATGTAATCTTTGCTGTCAAATTCGTTCGAAGCATTTACCTTTGAGCGGAAGATTGCGAGCTTGTACCTGTCTCATAGCGTTTGTATGAGAAAATAGAAGAGTTGCCAGTTTTTTTTGAGATGTTATCTTCGCTTAAATGCTAGTGCAAACTAACTCCCCCATCAGGTGGGAAATTTTTCTCCTATCAGCTGGTGTTGTTTATTTGCGTGAGAGTTTACAAATCATCCACTGAAGTGATTGTTTACAAAATGATTTGAAAAGTGCCGCTTGAAGTGATTCACATCGAAATAATTTTTCAACTTTTGTTTTGTTTTTGAATCTTCACTGGTATTGGCAAACCTCATCCTAATAAATATTTCGGTATATCTCGTATTTTAGCATCTAATGGACTTTTGCCTTTTCTCAATTAAATTATTCAAATAGCATATAAATGATGATGATGATGGTCCCACCTCTTACCCAAAAAATGAGCTGGACGATTTATCTTTAAGACAATTAAATATGACATTTTAACCAGGTTAGCAAACAAAATCGGACTGGTTTCAGTTACAGATATAAATTACCTCTAGAGTTTACAGTTGCTTCACAGCGATATAAATGTGAAAAAGCTCAGGCGTCCTCCTCTTAGTTCGCCTTTTTGTCCACCTAAAATATTCATAAGTTTTAAGCTATCATAATTTTCAGCAGGAATGCTCACGAATCCTCAACATTTGACAGAAAACTTACAACTAACTCAAGGTAACTTCCAAATAAGCTTCAAAATTGCATTTTTTTTTAAATTAAATGTTTAATTCAGTTCTCTATATCCGTAATACGCGTGCGAGGCTCAAACCTTTGTAGACAATTTTTTTTTTTTAATTAATCAACTTTTAAATCAAATATTAAAAATCCATCATCACCAACGTGGCAAACAGAAATAGTTTTTTGCAGTGCTACAATAATTATTATAAAGTCGTTATGACAGCTATCCATATAAAATAATCCGTTAGAGATAACTTCGTCAAGATACATAATTTGTCAATTCATAAAAAAATCACTGCATAACTGTTCAAAAGACAGTTTTAACGTGTGAAATGCAGTGTCTTTAAAATTCTGTAAGTGTTGCTAAACGTTTGATATGTCTAGGCATCGAATTGAAAACATTTATTCATTTATAATATAATGAATTTTGTGAAGCACAAGTCAAGAAATGTGGTGTTCTTATTTCAACCGCGTTTCTAGTATTATATCTATGAAAGTCACTTCCTCTTTCAATTCGATCACACAAATATCGAGGCAGCAAACCGTTAACTACTTTAAAAATGAACACCATAGTCAAATATACAATTCTTTGCTTCACCGACAACCATTGTAAGGCGTCTAGCATCAAAATGAATCTATTACATCTCAAAATAAAACGCATTATTTTATACTGCAAGCGCTGTAATCTCAATATTTGTGTTGCATTGGCCAGAAATAAAATGGAAGGGCAAAAGTCAAGATGAGGAGAGATGATTGATTTGTATAGCTGTATTTTACTGGCAATAGTTAAATCGTTTTTCAGTCGACATAAAATTCCATACTCCTTGGCAATTTTCTTGATGACATTGTCAATGTGAGAGTTGAACTTAATTGTGTCATCAATAATCACGCCGAGATAATTAATCTCCCGAACGCGATCAATAGTCTCATTATCAATTACAACAGAGACGTTCTCATTTACTCGATTCCGCGAAATTACCATCAATTTAGTTTTATTTGTATTCAATTTCAACTGCTTAAACTCCAACCATCTACTTAGAGAACGCAAATCTTCATTCAAGTGTAAAACGGCATCATCTTAATCCTTAGCTGCCATGAATAACACAGTATCATCTGCAAAAAGATTAATGTCGCAAAATCTCAAAACACGTCGCAAGTCATTAATATACATAATAAATAACAGGGGCCCTAATACACTTCCCTGGGGCACTCCAAGGGTATTCCCCACGGGACTGGAAACAGAATCATTAAAAACAGTCCGTTGAGTTCTGTCAGACAAATAGCTTTCAAACCATTTATATGCAGTACTCGTAATTCCAAAGTGCTTGATTGATCTTAACAATAAGGGCCTAGACATTGTTTCAAAAGCGCGTTTAAGACCCAAGAAACAGCAACAATCGTATCTTTACACTCCAAGTTATTTTTCCACTTCGCTAATACCAAATTCAACGCGGTTTCACAAGAATGACCTTCCCGATATCCCGATTGTTCTATTATCAATATTACCTATTAGGTTCTGAAAGCTTGGAATACATGATCTTTTAAATTTGTCGAACTTGGCACTGAGAATTTGTGAGTACTTGGCACTGATGAAGTCTGCAAGTAGTAGACGAAATACGCGTATCTGTCAAAAGATAAGCAATTATAACGAAGTTAAAAGGGAATAAACCAACACACTCGAAGCTCTTCATAAATAATATTAGTAACAGAAAGTAGTTGATTTTAAATTCATGCGGAGTGACTTCATTGGTTTTTGTTTTGCAAATTATTAGTTCTGGAGTTCCAGTGTGTACATTTTACTGTGTTTATACAGGATTTTTACAGGATCGGTCAGAATGGGCCGAAGGTTCTCAGAATGCTATGCAATTTTGCCCACAGGTTGAGTTTATGATCATATAAATGAAACAAAAATTCAAAAAATCTTGTATAGCCAATCTTCCCGGAAAACTTTAGTTGAAGTTTCGGATTTTCCTGGACATCACTTAAAGCAACTCATGAAGCAAGAATCGTGGTCAAGCATCAACAAATGTTGTGTACTAAAATGGTAAGGTAAGTATCTCAGAAATCCATATAAAATATAATCAGAAAAAATGGATGGAGGAAAGCCACAATGAAGAGCAGGAAATGTTTTCCAACTATTATATATCGTAAGACCAACAGACGGTTTTGAGTTTTAGAAAATCTATCTTAAGTTATTTAAAAAAAATCTCACTCATTCACTTGAAAACTAAATTGACTCAAGGCAGTTGTTAAAGATAATCTTTTGATTGCCAATTAAATATATTCATCGTTTATCACACCAGTCAAACACCTTCTTGAATATGTTTAGCCCATGCAACACAACTGATTAACGCAACCCAGGAAGTTCCAACCGCCGACTAACCACCTGACTAGTTTTAATATTTGAAGTTCATCAGATCAACCGACCTTGCCAAAAATAGCCAACAACAACAACAACAACACCACCAAACATCGTCGTAAACAAAAGTGTCTCTCCACTGCCATCCGATCCATTCGGAGATCGCGTTAGCTTGCTTATTCTAACATCATAGACAAGTTCGGATCGATTAGCCTCTGCTAGGCGCTTCGTCGCATTCGCCAATTTTTCGGAACCGATGACCCAGATGACGGAGATACAGAACCTTCCCCAGATACGAGTGGGTCTCCCTCCCAAGCTGGAACTACAAAATAGGCAGCCACTTTTAGCAAGTAGTTCATTTTACAATTTAGCACCATTGGATCAGTAAGCATATATTGGGAGACCGGTTGTCATCGTCGTCGAGAGCCAGTTGATCGTGAACGGATTAAGTATAACTTGCGCATGCAAAAAAAGTAGGAGAAAAATAAGAAAAAAACGTCGCCGAAGAAAACCAGTTTTCCTCCAACGAGATATTGCAGGTTGGTAATTTGTGTTTATTAGCTCGGAATAATGCACATGATCTACCACCCCGTCGACGCAAATCACCACCAGATCAAAGTGTTTTTCACCACACTCTCAAGCTCTCCGTCTCTCCCAGTTGGAAAGCTCGATCGTTTCTCTCTCTCTTGCGATTTATGTACGGCCAAGAGCGGGAGAGAGTTGGAGATGGAGCTTTTCGTTTTTTGGAAATTTCAGCTAACAATCGCGAGAGCGACCGTCGTACGGAAAGTGGGTGGTGGGAGACGCGATCACTCTCACTTTCGATGGGGTCGTTCGGAAAAGCTACCCATCGAAGCTTTCCGAAGCTGTAAATAGTTGGTCATAATCATAAGAAAAAAGTAGCGATGGCTGCTGAGAGCTGAGGCAAAAAAGGCAAAAAATATCCAAATTGATCGCGATCAGTGATTGCCATAGCGTGCTGCCGCCGTTGGTGTTGGACGCCGCGGCAAAAGGCAACTTCGACTGGGGCCAACCGATCATTACGCCGTTTGGATTGGTTTGAGGCACACCTCGCGCGGGCTCGCATCACACATTGGACCTACTTGGAATATTGTTTGTGTTGAATTTTTTTTTTTTCTGTTTCTACACCATTTCCTACTATCCACCTCTGTCATGCTCTGTTTGGCACTCGATCTAACTTCCTTTTGCGATTCCAACCCTTTCGCTTTCCTTTCCTCTTTTTGTTTTTTGCAGATTAAAGTGTCCAACTGAAGAACCCCACGGGAACCGGAAAATCTACCAGCAGCGAACTTCCGAAAAGAAAAGCCGAAAAGTGTGTGACGACAGTTTCGTAGTAGAAGAAGAAGAAGAACAACAAAACAGCAACCATGAAGCCGTTCGGTTGGAGTGCGAGTTTGGTGGTGGTCCTGTGCCTTGGGGCTGCCCTGGCCGCTCCCAGCACCCGGGTCAAGCGGGAGGACTCGGAGATCAGTGCCGAAGTGGTGAACCCAGTTGGGTCCGAGGTTAGTGCCATGATCGAAATAACACAGAGTGAGAGTGAGAGTGAGCGGGTGAGTGAAAGGACGCATCCGCCAGAATCAAGGTCAAGTGTGTGTGTGTATGATCGCTTTGCATAAGCGATGATGGTGCGTGGGATGAATAGTTGGACCATGAACACTATTTCTGTGCTGTTGTTTGTCGATGATCGGTGGGAAGCGTTTTTTGTTTGTTTGAGCGAGAACACGTGGTTCAAATGCAATTGGCACGAGCAATTCAAGTTCAATCATAATTAGCGCTGCGATGCCAGCAAGATAGCCCAGTACGTACGGTACGGTTTGATAAGAGCTGGTGATCAAGATCAACATAGCTTGCAAATTGCTGCAATTTGCCTGCCATATGATTGTGAAGCGGCGATTGAGTGAAGTTACGCGTAATTGTTAGAAATGACGATCATACTCTACAGCAGATATCAAGGAAGCGATCTTCAGGTTGTTTTTGTGATTGGGTGAAAAACATATTGACTTCCTTGTTCCTAGAACTCATTGAGATATATCCATCGACTGAAATGCGATTCTATCTAATTAAGAAAAACGAAGACGTGAACGATTAGACTGATGCAAAATTTAAGAGTTGCACTCCACAGTACACAAACGGTTTCAAATCGGGTCCTGATAAGCCTCCCAAAATTTAAACTCAATTGATAAGAAACTGACTTGGCACAATCGATTTGAAGTTTACAAATGGAAATTACTATGGGAAAACCAAACTTTTTGTTCATCGTCTTCTAGACTTTTTCCATATTGTAGAATGGTATTGCCTGGAAAATTTTCTCAGCTACAACTTAGCAGCAGATCATTTTTCAGCCAAACGTTACATTAAATAGTTATTAATAGTGTAAGAGAATGATACTCTTTAGGCATGATCCAGCAGCTGTTTTGTGGGCAACACTGATTTCAACAGTGTGACATAGTAGGCGTGATTTTTGTACTCTCTAGACTACACGCTAGAAACACCAATGTTGCCTGCTGAACAGTTGATTGAGCCTAATCATAAGACACTAGTGTCTTGAATAATTAGTAACTTTTGCTCCTTATGGTTGATCAAAAAGTGGTCTTGAATAAAGATATGAACAAAAAATTTGTTTTTCCTACAGTAATTTCAAGACAGTTGCTCACTAAATGAGTTCAAATTTTGGGATGCTAATCAGAACCCAATTTGAAACCGTTTGAGCCCTGTGAAGTAAAATTTTCATATTTTTCATCAGTCTAATGAAGCCTCCAGTAAGATTCACATTACAGAGCGAGTCACGTAGAACAATCCAAGTCTAAGTTGAAAAACTCTTACTGTTCTAAAATTAATCCACATTTTTAGTGGTCTAAGATCATCCAAAAATTTAAAACTATCGAGTGGTAGGTTCTTCGATTCTAGCAAAATGCAAAAATGGTATCCATACTGGAAGAACCGTCAATTTGACAACACTATACTGCCCATAACCACAAGTCAGTCCTTTATGAAAAAGACTGGAAATGAGAAAACGCCGTTCAAAGATTTTACAAGCTTTCACATTTTACACTTATTTTGAAGGGATAATTTTGAAAATAAACGTGCAATGTGATAGAATGTATCTATGTTTAGTAAAAAATATTAGATAAAATGTCGTGAAAATTTAATTTTATGACTAAAATCTGAGTGGGACTGACTTGCGATTACATTTAACGTCAATGAGTAAATTAACCGCAAGTCAGTCACAATGCCATGACGATGCTGCATTAGTTTAGCACAGTATTGCTCAGTAGAAAGATACCATGGTCCCATAGAACGTTATTGAATGCCAAACCCACCAAACGATAAATCAATTCACATGAGAATTTGAAAAAAAGACCAATAAGAGTCATGATGAGTAACCAGCACCATGTTGGCCACACCCGGACTTGTTCCGAGTATCCCCGAGGAAGTGGTAAAATCATTTTAAATCAAAATCCATCATGCCACCGGAGATCGGGTGCCAGTAAAACACACACTGTTGCGAGATAGCACTTTCATTTCCAAAGAGACGTGAAAGAGCATTTTAGAACGTGCTGTGCACATTTCATTCTTCTTGTGTTGGAGAGCTGCCGCTCCAACGGTGTTAACTCTCTTTTTCTCTCTTTTGCTTCTCCGATTGTGTGCGCTGTAGCGCTGTAAGATAGCTAGCATCGAAGATAGCCTTTAAGCTGGGTTTAGACAGGGCAAGTCAAATGATCAACTCAGTTTAATTCAACTGACTGGAACGCGAATTGAATGTGACCATGCCATTCAACTGAATTGATCAACTCACTTAAATTGAAAAAAGTTGAACCAGGCTCAACTTTTCAAGCCAATTGAATTCAACTGAGTTGATTAAATGACTTGCCTAGTCTAAACCCAGCTTTATGTGCCTTTAGTAAGCATTAACAGAAGAGTGACTTCCAGTCCATTCCAGTTTCCTCAGTTTTTTTTTTTTTCATAAGGCAAATTTATGAAATTCATTTCGTTTTTTTCTAGCTAAAAAGCGTAAGGTAATCCTATGAACATCGACAGTTCATTTCACTAAGTTTACCATGGTGGATTAATCAACATTCATGGACCCAGGGTTTTTAACTTGGTTTGTAATCACTTGAAGTTAGATTGAGTACTTAAATTCACAAATCGGTTGATTCTAAAATATTCTATTGATCAAAAATGGTTCAATTCTACAAAGGGAGGTTTTGGTTCTTTGGAGCCGATCGCTAATATTTATACAAGAATTTACGATGAATTTAATTACTTCAAATAGGGCTCCGGGATACTTCGTCGTATGGCACCCGTTTCCGTTCTATGTTCTAAAAACCATAAAAGCAAAACTATTTTACTAACCTTTTCGGAAAACCTTCTTTGCTCTCGAAAAAGATTAAAATTGATGTTGACATATGCGTAGAATTAGTGATTTTGAATTAGAAGGGTATGACGATGCAAAGTGGTGTACAATGAAGTGGAGTGGAGCCCTATTCCCATAAATAATATTTAAAGCAACTCGATTTAGGACTGTTAGCACCCAAATTTGATTTTTCCGCCACTTCAAACACATCATGCGTGTTTGAATCAGACTGCGCCAGTGGGGCCTCAGCTAACTACCCTTGCCTACACACTTAGAAATAACTAATATAAATAATTTTACAAGTGACGGAATCCATCTTTGACAGAAACGGTCAGACGTAAACAAATATTTCATGTAAAATTAAGTGCTCCGAGACTGAAAAGTACGTTTTTTTTTTTATTAATTACTTTATTTGTACAGGCTCAATCGAATAAACTTTACAGAGCCGAGTTATCATTTTTGTTATACATTATTGATTTCTTATATTTAAAGTTAAAGGAGCTGGACCGGATACTCGCGGTTGTCTCGAGGTTAGTGGGGATTTACAATTTTTTTAGATGGGAAAAGGGAAAGGGAGGTTTGAAATGTGGTTTACGATACAAATATTTAATTAATCCTAAAACATGAACTATTTCTATTCATCTTGAAAACAAACATAAAAAAACCCACACGTACAAAATACAAACTAAACACAAGGTTAATCAAACTTACAATCTAATGTTAATATTCTTAAAGTAAACATATATGAGTTTCATAAACTCCAGATCGCGTCTAGCCAAAATATCCCGAACTGGAACATTAGGTTGTCTACCTCGAGCCCGAAGGGAATCATAAAAATGTGATCTGACTCCACGATACTCCACACAAGACCAAAGGATGTGATCAGCGTCCTGTTAACCTTGTCCACATTCACAGAGATTGCTGTCCTTCAGCCCAACACGGAACAAGTGAGCGTTTAACGAGTAGTGATTGGACATGAGGCGAGACATCATACGAATGAAGTCTCGACCCACATCCAACCCCTTGAACCAAGAACTCTTCGACACCTTAGGGATGATCGAATATAGCCATCGTCCCAAACTCCCTTCACTCCACTTATTCTGCCAGCTGACGAGTGACTGTTGACGATAAATGAAGAAAAATTCATCGTAGGCGATTTGTCGATCGTAAATATCGCCTTCCATAGCGCCCACCTTAGCAAGTGAGTCAGCCATCTCAATGCCCGGAATCGAGCAATGAGATGGGACCCATGCAAAGGTGATGACAAAAGATCTTAAAGATAAAGCACTTAAAAGCTCTCGTATTTTCATGAGAAAATACGAGGAGTGCTTTACCGGCCTCATAGAGCGAATAGCCTCGACAGAACTGAGACTATCCGTAAAAATAAAATAATGATCTGGTGCAAGTGAGGCGATCGTTTCTAGCGTATAATGTATTGCCGCCAACTCAGCAACATATACGGAACAAGGAGCTTGAAGCATTCGAGAGGCGCTATGAAATTCGTTAAAAATACCAAAACCAGCGGACGACTCTATTAGTGATCCATCTGTGAAGAACGATCTTGCGGAATCAACTTGGCCAAACTTTGCAGCGAAAATTGACGGAACAATCAAGGAACGATGATGTTCTGGGATCCCATGAATCTCCCGCGTCATAGATAAATCAAAACTAACTGAATTGCCGAAGTCGGAGAAGCATACACGATGAGGATTATGCTGTGAAGGGCTGACATCCTGTGTTATGTACACGTAGTACAATGACATAAAACGAGTTTGAGGGTTCAGCTCAAGAAGCTTTTCAAAGTTTTCGATTACCAGTGGGTTCATAACTTCGCAACGGGTGAGGAGCCTGAGGGACAATTCCGAGAACCGATCCGATAGTGGCAACATGCCCGCCAACACTTCGAGACTCATCGTATGAGTCGAGTGCATGCATCCTAACGCGATACGAAGACAACGATACTGGATACGTTCCAGTTTGATGATGTGAGTTTTAGCCGCCGACTGGAAACAAAAACTACCGTATTCTAAAACCGATAAAATCGTTGTCCGGTACAACGTTAGAAGATCTTGCGGATGAGCTCCCCACCACGTTCCGGTAATTGTTCGGAGAAAATTGATCCTTTGTTGGCATTTTCGTCTCAGATAC